CAAACTGAGAAGGGTGAACAATGGTGTCAAACGCAGGGCAGTGCAGTTTGTCTGCAAAGTGTGTTGTCACAGGGTACTGATGTTCTGCTTATGGAGAAGTGCAATCTGGGCAAAAAGTAAATTGTTTATCAGTGAACTGTTGAAATCACAGTACTGTGAACGCTATCCCTCATGAATTATATACAATTCATGTATACGTACAATCTGCCAGCTAGTGCAGAATGATACAGTTCAGGACAGATTCATTTGGCAACACATTGTTTTGAAAATTAAGATTTCTGTTCTTTGAAGAAAGATAATAAAATCATTATGTCTGGAGGGCAACAAAAATAGAGCACAAAATGAGACTTTCAGGAAAATCAACCATTCAGTTGCCTGTTTATCTTTTGTTCTAACATTGTTGTTCTGTGGTTAAATTCATCATTATTTCCTTTATATTTTCCTTTCATGAGGAAAAGAATTCACTTCTGCCATGGAGCTAACTGTAGTAGTAGTAGTAAGTAGTATCTAATCAAAGATGGAGGAAAGTAGTGTTGGGACTTAATGGCCAGATATTCTATTAAAATACAGTGTTATAACTGCTGCCTCTTCAAGCAGCCATTAATTTGAATGTGAATTTGAAATTCAAGGTTCTTTTTCTGAACAGAGAAATCACTGGTAAGCTATTATAACTTGGAAAACCTCATTCTCCCTGAATTGCACTAATTTTGTTCCACCTGTGCAAGTCCTCTGAATTGAAAGGAAATTTCAGCAATGCAATACTTGTAAGTTTGTGATATTTGTAAGAGCTAAATCCAATATCTTTGTGTTCTAGACTAAGGTTAATTTGTGCTGCAATCAACTTAACAAATGATCAGTCAGGATGTGGAGAAAGGTTTCCAGAAGGTAACTGAAGCATTTCTACCTTTAAAATCCTTTCAGAATTTTAGCCAAGGACATAATTTTAGGGATGATATAGTAAGGAGAATATCTCTGGATTTCCCACTCTAATAACATACCCCAATTTGGACCTGTATATTATTTTTTACATTATATCTGACATATATCTGAATACATATGCATATATATACTAAGACTATTTATGGTATGTGGATTAAACAGGAATGTTATAATTTATTTTCTGTTTTTTACCAATATTCTGATGTTATTAGAACTGCTTTTGCAATCTCTAGTACCAAGAAAAGGAAAAACGTCATAAAAGAACATTTCCATGAGAACTTTTGATAAAGACACAAAGTCTTCAGTTCTTGTTAGGGAAAAACCCCCTAGAAATTGGGTCTCTTCAAAATTAAATTATTCACAATTCTAAATTTCATTATTCAATCTTTTTCACTGCTCAAAGCATAGAAGATTTTGTTTTCTAAATAGCTTCTGAAGATAAGTTTGAAGTTTGGAATTAAAGTAGAATTATTGTGAAACAGGTTTCTTTAAAAATGGCATAATACACCTTCATGTATATTGTTTTCCGATGTTTAAATTTAGTCAGTTCACAAACAGGATGAGGACAGTATTACCTGTTGAAAATTAAAACTTTCCTGGGATCAGGCTGTGCACTTTTTCTAGTTCACTCATCACCAGTAATAATAATTCTGTGATTGTCTTTTGGTCAATATTTTTGCCGGTGATGCACACACTGGAAGAGAATTCAGTTAATTAACTGGATCCAGGTTATCATGAGTCATAAATGGGGGGGAAATATTTACTGTATTAATGAAATTCAGAAACCAGCTGATTCTAGATGGATCTGATGGGACAATTTAACATAAACCCTTATGTCAGCAACCTGATTTCAGGTGGAAAGACTAATTAAGACTAAGAGCTTTTGTAGTGCAACACTAGGGTTTCTTATGTTAAAAAAAACCTGTGAGAACAGTTGTGTTTTTCACCTTGGAGTTAGCACAATGCCAAAAAGAAAAAATAGTGTTTGCCATCCTGTTTCCCCTAATACTTTTGTCTTTTCCCGTCTCTCTCAGGTTTGTGGTCTGGTCTTGACTTGATTCTGTAAGGTGGAATTCCTTCTGTCATATCTTCAAAGCAATGGGCCCCTTACAATTTTCTTCTGTTCTAGCCACAGGGCTTCAAGTGGAGAGATACTTATATGGGACTTGTTGGAGAACAGGGTATTCTCTCTGCATTAAGGCTTTGAGGAAATTCAGAAGCAGTAAAAGAATTTCCTAAGTACTGTTGAATCAGAATATGATTTCTATAGTATCACTGATCATCACACTGCCTCTTATTTTAGAGGAAAGCTAACACAGGTAAGACTGAAGATGACTAAAATATATATACTCTGTCCCAAAGCCTGTTTAACTTAGCCTAGAGTCAACTGATTTCAGCTTGCAGGCACCATTTTGGCTAAGGTCTCCCAAAAGCAATAACCACAATAATGAGAAATGTAATGTTGATCACATATAGCTAAGCAAGAAATCTGGAATGTGAAGTACAATGTAAGTATTTGGTGCAATTTGACATGCTCCTGTGGACATGGGAGGGCGATTGCCAAATTTCCACCAACAGAAAATCTGGCCCTGCAAATAACTTTATCATCTTTTAATTATTACTGTTCCTGGACTACAAGGCCAGAAAACAAATCTGCATTAACTATTTCCTCATGTAAATGTGTATCTTGGCATATCTGTCACAGAACCACAGTTAGGGATATCAGCCAGCCTCCTATGTCTGGTTTTGTAAAATTGTATGTCAGTTGAAATTGCCATGCAAATATGTGTTGCCTTTGTCCTACTCCTTAGCATTGGAGCCAAATTTTAAAACATGGCTGTACTGCTTGTTTGCTTATATAGAGCTGTTAGCTCGTGGTGGATCTTTCTCATGTTCATCATGAAAATGTGTTGGGAAACACAGTTGTCAATTATATAGAATTATTTCTAAACAACTTCCTACTTGTTAAGCTAAGGATGGGATTGATAAAACAAAGAAATGTTCATTATACAAGAGATGTTGTCACTCTGTGGGTAAAACTATTTGTGCGATGTGACATCAGTAGGTTTTCAAACTACATCAAGGATATATTTATCAGCACGGCTGTCTTTGTGGCACTGAGAAAAGAATAAACAAGTGTGTAAAGGAACAGCTTTTTAAAGTTATTCGAGGAGAATTTAAATCCCATATTTTCCAACAAGATGAATGCGGCTGCATTTGAATTCTAAACCAGAAAGGTTTATAGTGCATATGGTACTTATTTGAAATTTTTAAATGTCTAATTTCTGCTGTGGAAATGGAGGCCAGCTTGAGTTATTTATTGTGGGATGCAGAAGGAAATCACGACCCTTTGCAGGGACACGTTAGAATCCCTGCACCATTCAGCCAGTTTTCTCCTGTCACACCTACTTAAATTTTCAAAAAGACTCTTTAATGTATTGAGTGTGCTCTGGATCATACTAGTTCCTGAGCACTTATGACAGCTTTCAGAGATTGCTGGTGGCTCCCAGTAGATTGTAATTCTAGAAACAGGAGCCTGATGCTAAGCATCACCACCTGTTCTCCATTATTTTCATTCAGAAGAAAACAATGCAAGTATAAGATTACACACTAATGGAACCTATTTTCACTAAATAGGTACATTTGGTCGCATGTAATTTGGTGGCCCATAAAAGAAAAAAAGAAAATAGTAAGCTGTTTTCAAAAGGGAGAAGCAAATAAAACTTAAATGAAGAGTTTCCTAACTACGTTAACTAAACCCATTCTTACATGGCAGGTATACCAATATGCAGTATATAAGTACATACAGATCCCTTGTTGGAATAGCTGTGTTTTCAATTTGATTTGTTGACATATCCTAAAAGACTTTGGACCTCATTCAGCTCTTTGTACATCCAATACAGAGCTAGATTTGAAGCCTTCTGGCATTTACACTGGAATTCCTATTTCTACTTTGCTTAGAACAATGCAGGTCCTGTCTCTAACTGGGGTTCCTCTACTGGTTGTCAGTAGAAGAAAATTATAAGCATATATAACATTGTTATAATGATACTTGCAAATCATGTAGTTGTTTGTTATATTCTATTATCATTTGCCATATACCAGCATGGTCCCCTGTTATTTCTCTGCTATGTATTCATGTGATATATATCTAGATAAGTGAAAGAATTTAAAAAATAAAATTGTCAATGTATTTCCGTATAGGTTTTAGCATGAGCATGTGGTATAGGTAGGCGGTATATTTTTCAAGCATGAAAGCATACATATGTCTCCCACCCTTGAAATCCTGACCATGGTAGCATTCGTATAGAACTTGTGATAGCCTGGCTTGTGGTAGTCACCAGTCCTGGTTATGGATGCAAACTAGTCTCTAAATGGTACCAATATCTGCTTTTTATCACTTTTTGTTGCTGTTTTTTTTTTTCCAATATATTATTCCCAAGGCTGTTACAAAAAAACAAACAAACAAACAAAAACAAACAAAAACAAAAAAAAAAATACAAACCACCAACCCCCCACCCCCCTGAAAAAAAAAAAAAACAAAAAAAAAAAACCCAAAACAAAACAGTTTGGTTTTTTTTTTTTTTTTTTAATACAGTTTTTTCCTGCTTGTGCTTCTTGGTGATTCTCCTCTGAGAGTCCACATCAGACTGCTGGTAGCCTTTTAGTAGTACTGCTTCTTGCAAACTCTTTGGTAAAAAGTGGTGGGGTTTTCTGAAATAACATTTGTTTTCTGAAGTGTGTTAGTTCCTGAATCTTAAAGATGAGATTCAGCAGTTAATTGAAAGGCAGCAAATGAAGTGTTACGGTACTTTACCTACAACCTTGCACTTTTGGGGACATGAGGTGTTATTATCAGGGTTTGTTTGCTGTGTGCATGCTTGGGAGGTGCCACCTGCCCACACATGCCCCATGTCTGTAGCCTTGCATCCTGGCACCCCCCCCGGGGCAGCTCCAGAGCTCCCTTGGTGGCAGGCAACCCGCTGAGTGACAAGGAAGTTTACCAGTCATTTTAGGCCCCTTTTTTTTTTTGGACAAAACTTAGGCAGAATCTGGAGAACTAAAAGGTCCGTAGTCCAGACTCCCTGTGTGATCCATGAGAAGGCATCCAGAAGGGACCTGTGGAAGAGCAACACCGCGTGCTGAAGTTAGAGCTGACAGTAGCTGGTAGGGATCCACCACCCTTCTCATCTGGGGCTTGACTACAAACCTGTGGGTCTTTTCTATTTTGCCACAAGCAGCCTGATCTATTCAAAGTACAGAGCTCCTGTATTCCCTCATTTAGGGCAAAACCTTCAATCAGTAAACCCATCCATATCGATGGAGCCATGCGTGTACTGGGTATTTTGTAGGTACTTAAATAATTTTCTAGAGTAGGTTAGGTGGCTGTATGGAGCAACCTAAATGTAAGTGCTGTCTTAGCCATAACTGCCAATGGAGAAAGGCCTAGGATCAAAAACGTATCTGGTTTATTCTCTCAAATGTGTTTGTTCTGTAGAATTGAACTGGAGTCTTAACTCTGAAATTGGAACAGGTTTTGGTCAGAGGAAGTAGAAGATGATTTATGGAGTGCTCTACAGCTGCTTTTTCTGAATGCAGTAATGTTTTTTAAACTATTTTTAGATTTGCAAATGTGTCTAATGACTTAAATATTTATAAACTTGGTTATTCTACAAAAGCAGATTATTTAAACTTTGAAAGTGTTTAATTTCAGATGTACAAAATGGATTTTTGATGACATTGTCAGACCATGACATATGCATAGATGAGTGGATGCGGTGTTTCAGAAAAATTGACACACACAGTCTTAGCTTTTCTGTGAACAAACCAGACCGTTTGTATATGCTTCTTTTCAAGAGTTTCTCCAAGTTGCTCTAAAATAACTTAAAGTGAATGCTTCCAACTAACACATATTTTACATTTCATAATATTTTTATGCTGTCATACGTTGATGATCTGCTTTTCAAATCTTTACTCATGTGCTAAGTCTTTAATGAGTAAATCTATTGTGAAGCCCAGTGAAGCCACGGGGTTATATATCACAGGGAGGACTGCTCGTGTTAGGGAGAGATTGCAAGATGATGCCTTTTTAGCCTTTTGATTTCCTAAATAAGTTAAGACCTTTGTTCTGATTTTGGCTGGGAAAACCACTTTCTTGTCCAGCCACAAAATCTCCATTTGTTTGCATCTTTTTTTTTTTTCTTTTTTTTTTTTTCCTCACAGAGCAGATAACAGCAGTGCTGGATTGAACATCTAAAAGACAGCACTCTGGCAGAGTGGGAGCCTGCACCCAAGCAACGAATGCTGTACAAATAGCTTAGCTGTTATTCATGTAGCTTGCTAATGAAAACAATGATCTGGTAGAGTCATGAACAGAGTTCTGCCTAATGGACTCTCATTAAAACAACAGTTTGCTGCTTTTCTTTTGAACTTTTCAAAAGTCTTTCTTGGGTTACACCCGATAAGAATGATAAGGGTACTACTGCACGTTCCTCAGCAAATCTGTAACACGCAGGCATTTTTCCATTCAGATGTGTGTATTTACATGAAAGACGGGCCTAAGACAGACTCTCATTTCCAAACCAGATGTACTTTGACTTGAAGACTTTAAGATAATTAACTTGAATTTTCTGGTGTATGGTAAGCAACTGTGGCTTAGCCATGAGTAAAAAGAAGCTGACACTGAAAAGAAACAAGGAAAGAACATTGGCAAATATTGGTATAAATAACTGGAAGAGGTTCTGGGAAGGATCCAGGCGTTCGTATTTTGCTCCTAGCACAGAGTCCCTCCTGGCCATCACTCTACAAACAGCTGGGTTTTATTGCTTCACTGCTGCTAATGCTGATATTTGTTGGTGCCTTCGATTTCCTTTCACTGAATTTTATAATGAGGACTTAAAATACAGGAGAAAAATAGTGAGGTCAATGATTTTAAAGGTGGGTGTGTAGACTTTATCCTCTGTTTAAAGAAAAATGGGCTAACTGTATTAGCATGTGCTGCTTCTTTATTTTTCCAGATCTCATGATCCAGCATGGTAAATCTTGTTAACACAAGATGAGGAAAAATGAGAAAAGATTTGGAAAGGGATGTATTGGAGCAGAGTGATTATGTTCTCTTAGAATTTTCTAGAAAAATGTCAAAATAGTAGTGTAGTTGTACTTGCATGTTCAAGTAATATTCTGAAGTATTCGGAGGCCTAACTGGTGATCAGTACTTGTATGGTATGGCTTACTGAGGGACTTTTCTCAGTATCTACAGTGCTCTTTTACAGATTCAACCTGTAGGCTTCAGCATGATTGCATTGGTTTAATTGGTTTATTCTATTGAATAAACCTGGATAAAGGTACTTAAATTAGATTAAATCTTTCTAAGTACGCTATAAACTATCTAAAACTTAAGCTAAGTATTAAGTAATTCATATGCCCTATTACAGCTCAAGGCAGCCTGACACTCTCAAACCAATAATTTTGACTGTTCATTTTAACTATACTGATGAAAATATATGTTTTTCTTTTAGTGACAAAGTTTACCTCTCTACAGTATATATCTACGCAGTAGAAGCTAATAGCTTCTGTTGCACTGGTACCAGGGAAAACGACAGTAATGGAAATGGCATTTCAGCATTTTCAGGGAGGGGCATTTCTACTCATGCTAGTCTCGACAGGGGTCAAAATGAGAAGTCGTAGCAACAAAGCACTAAAGAGGTCTTGTACTCTCCCCTCTCTTCCCTTCCTATGCGTGCAAGACACTGGCTTAGGAAAAGATGGCGTAACTTCATGTTTAGCCTCTAGCCACTGTATGCTGGAGACCATTTTGCATGACTCTCAGGAAGCTAAATTCCTGAATTAATGAGGCAGCAAGTAGCTGCAAGGCTGTGAAACAGTGCCTCAGTTTTGAGAGATCCTCTTTGTAGGTAAAGTGCTTGCTATCCCACATGATATGACTCCTATCCCATATGATCCTTTGAATTGGTTTCAAGGAAAATACACCAAATTTAGGAGACAGTCTAACATTTTAACAGCGATACTTTGTTACTTTATGGACTGATTTTCCTACTTGGGAGAACCTTTGGAAGCCAATGGGAATTGTGCCTGCTTTGAGACTGAGTGGCCTGTGGGTAAGGGCACATTTTCTGCTTTTTTTTTCCTGTGTGTTTTCACAAAACAAGCAAACAGGTGAATTTAGGCACTTGGATACACAAAGAGCTGTCTAGGAGTTTTTGCAGCTCTTTCAGCAGGGTAGGTGTGTAACCACCACTGACATAAATGTTCGTTCAGTGCAGGTGGAGAGAAACCCTCAGGCCTGAGTGTTTGTCAGAGCACAGTGCTGAAGACATAGTACAGAGGGCACCCTGCCAGGGAAATATGCTATCTCACTTGTTCCAAGTGCACAGGAAAGTGAAAGGGAATCGGTTGACGGGAAATACCCTCCTCATGACTGAGGAAAGCCATCTAGTGTTACTTCACTACTTTTCTGTGATGCAGTACTTGTCATTCATGTCAGTTGAGTCTACTTTTCTACCTCCTTGCAATGCAACTAGGATAATAATCTGTTGCCTAAGAGGTGAATCATACTTTGTGTACAGTAAACTATTACAAATATGCATATGTTCTCACAAGCTTAAGCATATAAATAACATCAGGCATTTGAATAATTCCACTGCTGCTAGTTTAACTACCCAAAACTTAGTTATAAATATTTTTATCTGCTTAATTAAAACTTCTTTTTTTTTTTTTTTTTTTTTTTCTTCCTGGAGTGGCATGTGAAGTACAGGGAAAACAATAAATAACGTCTCCTTTACATCTTCCAGCAAACTCTCTAGCAAAAAGGTAAGGAGGGAGATCTTTCCTTGCCATAATCACATAGCCATGGTCAATGGTTGGTTTTAGTGTGGAGTTTAAGGAGAGCTCTGCACATATCACAGAATCATAGAATGGTTTGGGTTGGAAGGGACCTTAAAGATCATCTAGTTTCAACCCCCTACCATGGGCAAGGACACCTTCCACTAGATCAGGTTACACATCCATTTTCTAAGAAATGTTTGGCAGTTGTAAAATAGGATGAGTAAGTTCATCTGTAAAATATGCTTTAGGCAATAATTTTATTTATGTAAAATATGTTTCCATAGGTATTGCTAGAAAGTAGGATTACATTTTTTCATACTTAGCTGGTAAATGTGACCACTTTGATTTGTGTTTGTATCTCTGTATAGAGGAGATAATTGTTAAAGACACCGTCACTTATATTTAGCATATCTGAAAGAAGGGCACAAGTTCAGGAAAGAATCACACAGTTAAATGGATGAGGTTTGAAGAAAATTACTTATGTATTGTAGACTTCTCATGTGGCCTTGGCATAGCCAAGCCATTTAATCTCTACTACCTTGGGTCCATCTGTTTAAAAGAAATAATTAAAAAAAAATAAGACAAACAGAACCAACCAACCAAAACCCTTAAAATCTTTTCTGCTGTTGTTTGGTCTTGCTTATGTAGACTACCTAGCAGTTCAGTAACTGATCATGTGGAATTATAAGAAAGCATGGCACCTAGGCACTGCTGCTGGGCATGGTTACAACACAGTTACCACTGACAAGAGGAGCTCCAATATGGGTTGACTCCGTGTTTGCACTCTGGGGCATCTAAATGTGAAAAATTCTTGCTAACGAAGAATGCAGTCCCCTGGAGAATCCAACTCATGCAGAATAAAAGTTGTCAAGAAGGTGGTGCAATATTACCATGGTTCCTGTTTCTTTGGCTTTCCTAACAAGTATCAGATATACACGGAAGTTTTCATTACAATAAAGTTGCGTGAACTAAAAAGTAGGATCAGGTTGCTGCATCTGGCTTAGCTTTAGAAGTGGAAATATAGTAAAGGGATAAACGAAAGGGCCACCCACTATAAAGTGTGGGTGACCAGTATAAGGAAAAAAATAATCTTTAATGGATATTTATTCCAAAGGCTGTTACAAAGCAACTGTTCTCAGTCTGATGTAGTGCCAAGCATAGAGGATTAAACTTTTTAATGACTTTTTGTTGATCAACATCCAAGACATCTAGGAACAAAGACAAGATTCCGTAACTCCACATAAAGAATATTGTTTTCAGACAAGAAGAGAGTGCTTGAAAACATAAGTTCAGAAGATACAGTAAAACGTAGCAGGGAAGAGGATAAATACAAGTGTCAGCTGCAGAACAGCCTATTTTGAGGGTGGAGAACAGATTTACAGTTAAACCAGTGTTAAATGCCAGAATCCTAGGTAATTGAATGCTGACAACTGGAATAGGACAATGTCCATTTTGGCTTGATTCAGAAATTGCATAGGATTATTCCTGTTTCTTTGGACATTTTTTTTTTTTTTTTGATACCTTTATCAAGAAATAACTGTGCCCTGTGGGTAGTGAACCTCAGTCTGAACTATTTTTTTCCCTTCTTTTTATCTCTCGTTTCTGTGACATTAGGTGTTTTTTTTTTTTTCTATGGATCAGACAATTTTTAACATCCTATTGTGCTGCCTCTTATGTCTTATGGTCCCTAGCACTGAAGGAAGTCTTGTTTGAGAATGGAAAGGGGCCCATAAGATTGAGAAGAGGGTGTAGTCAGAGTACAGCGTCTGGAATGAAAGATGGTCCCTCAGTGGCTATTGCAGACTGAAACTAAGAGCTGTCCCTCCTAACTCAGGGGCTGCAAACATGAATGTAGTCTGAAGCCACCCTGTTCTTGCCTCCTTGACCGCATGTGCTCAGCTCGCTCTTATGAGAATTGGGACCTGGGTTTGTTTGAATTAATAGTGAAGTCATTACACTATGTAAATATGTTAGTGTTCATCTGGTTTTACTCACAAGTTATTCTTGCCTCGCTGAGTTGCTCCTGTTTTCTTGTTTGTGCAAAATTAGACAGAAACATTTTAAGAGAAAAGGGAAAACAGGGTAAATAGTGTTGAAACCTTGATTGCTTACCACAGTCTGAAGTTGGGTAGCAAGTAGTAGGCAGCTCTAACTTAATCATATAATAAGAGTACAATGATCTTTTTAATGATGCTGTTAGGAGTCCTTTCCTTTTCTGCCATCTTTGGCCTCCTTTGAGTAAAGTGTGATGATTTGCCTTAATAGCCTAGTATTATAATTTTTCCTTTTACTCTTACTGAGGAGTCAGCTGAACAGCAGTATGAGCCTAACCACTTTAGAGAGGTTGCCTGTGCCCTCAGGGGGCTGTGACCAAGACCTTTCCCAGGACAGCTGCTCTTTTGCAGGTAGTCCCACTACACAAGCACTGCCAGCTCCCTGTACAAGCATAACTGCTCCCAGAATGAGTCAGAATGAGGAGCTTCGCTCTTGTATTGTAATTTTTCCTGTTGCTATGAAGGGGAAAGCCCTGAGTTGCATTATTGACTCGTCCTGCAGTCTCACTCATGCAGGCCAAGTGTAAGAACTGAAGAAATATCATCTTTTGGTTTGATTTTCTTTTTCTTTCCTTTCTTTCCTTGTCCTTAAAACCCATGAACTTCTGTGGCCACGTCATGAGACTGGAGAGTGAGAGCCGGTGCAGGTGCCCTGGCGTTGTTTGTTTGTTCTGATATTAAAGCTGGGCTGACTGATTTTTGCTGTCTGATTTCAATTCTCTGTAGGTGCTCTGGAGTTCCAAGGACTTGATCCCTCTCAGTTCCCCTCGCAATGGAGCAGTTACAGCCATCATGTTGCAGAGGGGCTCATGTAGAGCAGGAAAAGAGGGAAGGTGTTTTGAATATGAGATGGCAATGGTGGTTTCTGATGCATAGAGAAAGAACTGGGGATTGAAAGAGGCATATGGCCCAGGTGTTCTCACATGAGTGACCATCAGAGAGACAAACAATAATGCTGACATTCAGTAACCATGTTAGACTGCAGTCAGCAGTCTGTCGAGGTGGATATTGTGGTTCATCCTTCTCAGACATATGGCATCTGGCTGTCTCTCCAGCTGACACAAACTCATGTTTTCATGGCTGTCCTTTTAAATACAAGGGCCAGAGAAAATACATTTTGAAAACTGTTGCCTTAAATGCTTTGCACTCTGCAATGCAAAGTGTATTCTGCAAGGAATAACTAAGAGGAATTTCCAGGGTGAGGATTGCAGACACTGCACAATGTATACAACCTGGAAGCATTCTCTTCAGGCACTGTAGCAGACAAAGGGAGGTTTCGCATTGACTTCAGTAAGACAGGGTTTCCCCATTGCTTTTTCTAGAATTTGTGAATGTTTAAAAGCAAAGGAAGCTTACTTCCTTAGTAGCTATACTACAGAAGGTAAGGCTGTCATCTAATTTTTCTTGCTGTGAATGCATGCTTGCAGAGATAGTTCCCAATAAAAACTCCACCCTGAAAGTGCGTCATGATTTGGTGATGTTCGGACCCAGGTATTAGAACAGTAACTTACTGCCAGTTCCCAGCAGTGTTATTCTACTCCCAGTCACAATCTCTGAGTATCTACCTGCGGTTTAATGCTTGGTGCCTTGTGAGCCATAGGATGTTAGCTGTTTCTATCTGGACAGTGTTCTTAGATTAATAAAAAACTCCATAATTCTAGAGTTAATAGATCCAGTGGGAAAACTGTTTTTAGCAACTCACTGTTCATCCATTGCAGTAAACATGTTGATCAAAAAGCCAGAAGAATTTCACTCTGGAACAGATGATAAATAACCAATTAGAGACAAAACTAAAAAGCAAAACCATCAGAAAAGGGGTGGGGGAAAGGCAGAGATAATAGGGCACGAATGATCTGCTGAAAAGGCTGGACATAGAACAAAGTGTGTGTTAACAAACCTTTATTCTTTGAGCAGTCTTTGCTGATGCATTCGAAAATAACATAAAATCAAGACCTAAAGGCTTCCTGTCACATTGATTTAATACTATATTGTTGACTTCAAAGATTACCTAACGTTTTTTTGATGCTTTCTGTTGTAATGCTGCTGTTGATAGTTCACCAGATAATATGAATCACACACACACTGAGACAAAGTCAGTTTGGGGTCAAACTGACTGTTCCCCAAACTTCTGACCTTTCTTTATTCATGTCTACCTTCTGTCAGGTACCAGTCCTATGGTGCCACAAGGCTCCTTCAAAATCAAGCAGCTTATGAGGCTCATGGTCTCTCCAAATGTTGAGAGGGAAGCACCACTATATAATCTCATGGTCACAGTAGGGAGGGAAAATGAGTACCTGTGTATGCTCACTACACATGAGGCAGGAAACATAGATTGCTTCCTTTGAAATGGCAGGATTAAGCAGAGTGACACCAATATGGATCTAAGGTTGATAATTTGACTTAAAGGTGTGATAAACTAGGAAGACCCATAGCTGTGCTGCCTCGAGAACTACAATGTCTATGCGTGTCCTGGTGATAATTTTAGGCTGTTCTGTGCTATAAACAACATACATCTGTGCATATTTCAAGCATAATGTGCTGCCCTTTAAGTCATTTGGAAATATAACTCATTTCAGTTTTTACCTAGATGGGGAATTAAAGGCCAATCAAATTGAATAAACTTGTAAGGTGGATTACTTTAAGTGCCTTAAACCTTTGAGTTTGCCACAATACATGTAAAACACACTAAATTAAGGGCAATTTAATTCCGATAATAGTACCTACCCAGGAATTTAATTGATCCACTTGCAGTCTTTCATATTACTTTCTCTGTATGTCCTCCTGAAGCCAAGTCCAGCTTTAAACAGACACTATCTCCTCCGAGTGGGACACAAAATTTAGGTCTGTAAGGAAAGGTATTGAATTGTAAGCGGTTGAATGGAAGGTTCTGCTGGATAGCTAAAAATGCTCATTGAAATCCTCCATGTGGGCCAGGAGATAACATAGGGTCACGGTGGGAGTGAGATTTCATGCGAGAAAAGTCTCTGTGGGTTTCCTACCTGCACTGGAAGAGGCACCACTTGTGCTGGCTGGCTCTGTGTGCAACAGGACATCACAGCTCCCTTGTTTATTTTAAGGTGTTTGACTCTCTTTTCACCCCATGCAGCTATACGCTCCTCTTAAGCACAGATCCCCGCACAACTGCCTGCCGCTTGCAGAATGGGAAGTTATTTTCCATTACATTTTTGTTGGGATGAGAAAAGCCTGAGTCAGGGCCCATGTGAGTCCTGCAGTCTTGTTGGTTCAGAGGGACCTCAGTGAAGTTTGGTTTTTGGTTGTTAAGATCTAAGTTTTCTTTGGCTCTAGAAAATCATGAGAGTTGGACTACTGCACATTTTAGAAATGTTCTTCCCCTGGTGGTCTAGCAGTGGATTGAGTGTTACTTTGAAACATGAATATTTATTGTCTTAATAATGCAGGCTTCTGGGGCCATTAGCCACACAGTTTGAAGGAATGATCTTTGGAGGCTACAGTACATGTATCCACTATGTAGCACTCTGTGAATCAGACCTCATGAACAGCAGTGTTGTTTTAAGTTGAAGAGTTAAAAATAAGTTATTGCTAGAAGAAAGTACCTGTGCTTAATGTAGAGGTGGAAGAGGGTTTTTTCCTCTCTGGGTCTTGGCAGGGAAGCAAGTCAGAGATGTATTGTTTTAACAAGAAGGAGGTTCAGTAAGAAAAATTGAATCGTTAAACTTGTCATGGCAACTGAATGAAGTAAATCTGTTTCATTGCAACTACTGTGAGTTTTGCTTTCAGGACTGGTCTGTGCCACAGCAGTCACTGAGAGTTGAGAATTTCTGGTGAGATCAGTCTGAGACAGGATCTATGTCTGGAGCTGTCTGAGAGCACAGCATGACTTCCTCCGTGGGATAAATTAACCATGGCTTTCTGCTTGTGCACAGTGAGATCCCTCGCTATCATCTATGCTTGTGTTGAGCTAAGAATAGAAAAAAGCAACATCAGCAGTGCTGTGGGAAAACTGCATTGCTCCAGATGGCTGCTGATAAACTCTTTTCTCACTTGGGATTAAAAACAAAATAGTAGCAAATGACGGTCATTTCCCATCCACATCTTAATGTACATGTTTGCTTAGCAGCTAGGAAAGGCTAGGCTGAAGTTTGTCAGTTAGATATGGGTTTGTCTGAATACACTTCAGAAGCTATCAGAAAGTAATTTAATTGCCTTGCAGGGAAAAAAATAACCCACAGAGAGTTGGGAGTTTGTTTGGTTTGTTTGTTAAAAAGATTTGACTCCTCTCCTTTCCCCTTCCATTTTGCTTTATCACATTTATGTGGTTCTGAATGAAGAGCTCTTATTTCCATTGTTACAAAAATTTGTATGTGTTAGGTCTTCTCCTTGACTTTCATAGAGAGGATCTTCGTTCTATCTCCAAAGAGACAAGTAGGACAAATCCCATGTGTGATGCATTCATCTAGCTCTACAGGCCACATGTTGCATGCAACTGTCCCACCAATGTCCATCTGCTAAAAGCCTAAACAAATTTGAGATCCCAATTCAGAATCAGGCCCAACCGAGGAGCCAAACAATGAGTTGCATTCTTTGCAATTAGTCTTGACAGCAGGCTACTTGGTTGAAGCATATGTTTGCATTTCTTCATTTATTGACATGCTTTTACTTTGGATTAAATAATTCTTCAGAGAGAGAGAAAAGCAAAAAGCAGACCTGGCATCCCTGTGGCTATCTCATATGTTTGCTCTATGGGGATCAAGTCTTTGCTCAGAAAGATAGATCTGTCCTATCCAGAGCAGGACAGGAAGGAGGGGCTCTCACCATGATTAAGCCAGTTGGTTGCTTCATCATGCCTGATGGCTATGGAATATTAAGCAATATGCACAGTCCCGAGACTAAAGGGCAAACAAGCTCTATTGTTCATCCCTTATGCGGAGGGTGGAAACTGTCCTCTCGCCTATAGTTCAGTCCAGTTTTGATCATCTAGTTAGCACACAGGCTGTAGAGAGGTCAGATTCCACCTCTTTTACAGTCACTATTTTAAAATTTATAAAAGTATAATTAGTTGAAATAGAGAAAACAGCCTTTTTTCCTTAAGTAACAAGTGAGTAATAGACAGTGTTGCAGTACCAGTTAATTTGTGGTAAGCTGTCTCACAGGCATGTTGTGAATATAAAAGATTATGTAGGTGTGATATAAAGAGAGGTCTTTTGACTGTAGAAAAAGACATTTCTGCTGGATATGGTAGCATAACCTAGTGGCACAGGTGTTCGCATAGGCTATTAATAACTAGGGATTCCGTATGTACAAGACTGTGAGTAGCAGACTAAATCTGATTTCTAACACACTGGTACCATTCCCGGGATAATGAATGTGTCCATTTTCTTGAGCCACTTGTCTCACCTTTTCAGTAGTTCCTGCCTCTTTGCCAGGTGAGAATGATGAAGGATTGATCTGGTACCTCTACAGTGCTCTTACTTTCCGGCTGTACAACTGTCTGTGGCTTTCCTCCTGTTCTTCAGCCCAGTCCCCAGTACCATTACGAGATGATTGTATGAGACAGAAGCTGGCCAAGTGTCCAGTACAGTAACCGCAGTGATACTGTCATTTATGTGGTACGTGAGACTTCAGTTCTCTTCTTGAGTGCTGCTCGGCATCCACAGTAGAAGGGTAATGAATAACCTCCATGCTGTTTCTTCTTCTGGGAGTGGTATGTAGCCATGATCTCCTGCCAGGACCGACTCTGCACTTGGACTTTATGATGTGTTTAAAAAAAAAAAAAAACAGTTAACTGCTTCTGGGGGAGTCACTACTGATATCTGTTCCACCAAACCACTTATTTAGGCACAGCTCCTCTCAGCATTGAAGGTAGGTTTGAAACCAGCAGTGTTGTCTAGGACTGCTTGTGCTAGAGAAGTGATGACACAGCCTAGGTAAAAATGCCAGTGGATCTTTGTGCCTGTTTCTGACATAGCTAGTACAGCATGAAGCAGCTTCAGCATAAAAACAAATGAGATCTCATAATATGAGCAAATGAGAGTCTGGTGACTAAGGCACTGGCCAGGAATATTGTCTTCAAATATTTGCTGGAGGCTATGCTGAAATTCAAGCCCTTATCTCCCAAAGCTCAATAAAGTGTGTCTGCCATCGGTCTACTCACCCTTCAGCACATTACAGCGTCTGTCTTTCCCCCTGGAGTGCTTCTCCATTATGTTTTATAGTGCCAGACAGAGAGACTTGGACTGACTGACTCCACAGCACAACAGTCCCACCACTTAGTATTGCTTCAGCTTGCGGTGAAACTCTGTAGTTCAGGATGACCATATAAAATATGCGGGATAGCAAACTACTCCAGAAAAATGTCGAGAAAACCTCATTGCACTGAGAAGAGGTGCTAAGTTAGATCTCCTCTGCCAAAAGGGGAAGACAAAAGTATAAATAAATGTCACTCCTGCACGCTCCTCTAATCAAGAGAGTGATGTTAGCTACTTAGTCACAAAAGCTGGATAGTCAGTCCATTCTGCAGCCTCACTGTGAAGTTAATACACAAGGAGGATCCTCAGTAGCCTGGAAGGACTTGTTCAACTATAAAAATCCCCATGTTCTTTATCATATGCATAATTTTCCTTGAGTATTTCTATCATGTGGTCTTCACATTCTGAATATAAATTCAAGAAGGATGGGAATGGAGATTCATATTCTCTCTTTCAAAAAGAAAAGTTTAAAATTTACGTGTTGCTATGACCTGGCTGGCAAAGATTATTCTTGGTGGACTGATGCAGGGGACATCCTGGCGCACCACGAGTAGCACCCATTTAAATTTATCCTGAATCTACCAACTCTGCAAAAAGTCCAGCACATCTTTGCGGTACATTTTTGGACATGCACTCAGCAGTATCTTTTATACATGGATACAAAAGCAGTTGGAATGACTGAGGAGAAAACTTCTCAGCAAGCAATGATCTTAATCAGACAACACATTCTGAAAATGTGACTCATTATCACAGGAAAATCTAGTTTATGTCATGCTACGGGTGACTTGATTGTCTGTAATTTGGGCTAAAAAACTTAAATAAGATTGTTTAAATTCGGCTTCGGGGAGTGCTACATATTTTATCTTGGTTTCATCTGGTTTCCCATAATATCAAAGCTATGTTTAGTGTATAGAGATTTACGAGCAGAAAATGATATGTATAGCTGAAGAATGTGAAGGGATGATGTGCCTTGTAGAATTAGTTATCATTGCTGGGGAAGTAGAGCTGGTTTACAGCTTGCTTTTTCCCTCTCCATCTGGGACTGATCTGTGTCTTTGTGTTGTATATAGGAAATGTTCTCTGCAATTCTCTAAACCTAAAGACTGTGTTTCAGGCAATGTGGTGTAGGAGATTTTGCAAACCTTGAATCATGCATAGACAATTGTTGGCATGTATGTTTTTACAAGTATGTTTTCTTTATCCTGTATTTTAAAAAATATATACATATTTATACCTAGATTGGCTCAGCTACCACCAACAATGGGAAAATTATGAACATATTTTCCCTCCTGTTAGCCAAAGCTATGTACACTATATATTATTTTGTTTTATTTTTGTGTTTTAATACTGAGTACTATGCAGTGATAGAAATTACTTTGCTGGGAGCAGAAGTTATTCCAATGAATGTCTAGTGATTAGGAGACAGACACAAGGCCATGTAGACATTTTTGTTTCAAGCTCCCTGTGATTGATAGCTAGGATATCAAATGGATGGTGGTTTTGGAAGAAAGATCAAGGCAGTTGATGGCATTAGGCATTTACAAGAGGGTTTTTCCTATAGCTGGCTGGCAGCTGGTCTTTTGGGGTTTTGAATGGACTTGCCAATTGTTGTCTGAGCTACATGTAACACGCAATTATTTTTTTGATGTGCTGCAGTCATTTGCTGTAGGTAGATCAATGTTTTGGCTTATTTTTTAATTTAAAAAGTGTCACTTTTATTTAGGATGAGGCTCTATATTGGGACTAAAGGCTGATTGGGACTACATCAATTTCTTTGGCAATGTTTAATGTCAAAATTCTCTTCTGTTACTTACTTCTACCATTCTTAAAGACAGAGCTGAGAGTTGGAAATTAGATGCATATCTTAATAAGTCTCTTACACTTCATTCAGCCTAAAAAACAAAAGAAAAACGGTCACTAGATATAGTATGTAAAAGCATTCATTAGCACCATTCGGGATCAGGGAACTCTTTTTTTAAAAGCTATTTGAGGAACGAAAAGAGAACTGCAAGTAGGCTTCTTGCTGACAAGTTGCAGGTGTATACCACATGCCCATATTGGAAAAAAGATGCGGTTATGAAGGTCTTGATGACAGACAAGGGTCTAAAATGCCTTCATCTCCAGGTTTTAGCTAGTCCATCTGTTTTTTATTTGAATTTCCCCCAGCTATAACAGTGTTAGTATTTTCCAAACTCCGTATAACCATGCACAGGTCTCTATAAAATCGCTTTTCTACACTGTAAGATCCTTAGTTTAGTAAGATCTCATTTAAGTCAGGGAAGCCTTACTTTTATGGTAACTATATCATAAATTATAGAAGTCAGTGTTAATGATTTCTTTCTGGAAAAGTGAGGAGAAGGAGTGATGAGACTGAGGGGAGAGCACTTTAGTTCCGCTTTACTAGAACAGGTAGAATCCACTTATGCCTTAAGAGTACCAAACAGGTGAGTGCTAGTATTTGTCTCTTATTGCTAGTCCTAGATAAAAGATCTCACTGACTTTGATGTTCATCCTCTCAAGTATGAACTCAAGAGGAAATGTTTATTCTTAAGGGAAAAAGACTTACACATACGTCAGGTTACTCCAAACAGCTGCACTCTGGAATCATTCTTCAAAGACACAGATTCAGAGGGCAGAAGTAAAGGGGCAGCAGCACTTGGGAAATATCCAGTACTGTAAAGTACATTTTGACAAAGAAAACAACTAATGAAATCACACGGGGAATTGCATGGTTCCCCCCATCCACTAACGGCACTAGAGAAACTTGTTTGATTTCGTTATCCAACCTCTTGTTTCTTCTGCGATTCTCAACAGAATGTCACAGAGAAACAAGTTCTCCATATAAAACAACAATTTTCAAAGCAAATTCTCAACAGTCTCCAAGTTTGGTTTTTTTTGTTTGGTTGGTTGGTTGGTTTGTTTGTTTTTTTTCCTGAGAACAATATAATCAAGCCTTGATTTAAAATATTATTAGGAAAGTAATCAGCTTAATTTGAAAACTAGTCAGTTGAGCTTTTTGTTTGTGGTGAATAATTAATTGCAAAAGTCATTCTGAAAACAGTAAAAGCAATACTTTGATTTATTTAAAATGTTGGAGAAAATTAGTTGAGGAAGTGTAAACATCTTTTTACAGAAAGTGCCCAAAATTTATTCTCATCTTTTTATCTAAACAAATTCTGCAAGTGTAATTTTGAGGAATGAAAAAAAGCTATGATTAATTTAATAGGCAGTAAAATTAGATGCAGACAGAGAGCATAGTTGTAGCTGTGTGGGAGTCAGCAGAAAGGATCTTGGAGTGTGTCAGTGTGTGTTGTTATGTCTCCTTAAAGCATCATGTCTTCCTTTTGTAGTAATAAACTTTTCTTTCTCTCTCTTTGTGGGAGAATGCAGTGCTTTCGCAACTTTTTAAAAAAAGTCAGTTTTCCTGTAAGATAATGCTAGGTTTGATGAATACAGAATCGTACATGCGTGTCTTTGCTTGAAGAGAACTATGTGTGACAGTTTGTGCTCTGTAGTGTATTCCATGCTGCATACTATAGGGGTGGTATTTAGCAAGTTTAAGGAAGTGTACTAAGCCCATAAGTGAAGTAAAGGTTATCAAAGTGAAATGTTGACCGATGATGTTTGTTCACTTCCAAATAGTCCAGTTGGTGTGGGCCAGTGGGGGGTAGTGAAATAGAAAAGGAGCCTGTACCAATGTGGTGTAGATATTCACTGTGAGAACAGTGAACTTATCCACCAGTGTGCTTGACAGCTATCAAAGAAAAATGCCTACTTGGAGTTTAAACTAAAATATTACCTATTGGAGGGTGCATTTCAGGATTGTTACTAACTGAAAGGAGTTTTATGGCTCTGTTTATTCTTCAATGTGGAGTTAAATATGAGTTCTCTTGCGCCAACATATGTTTGAGGCATAAAAAGATGAAACCACCAGAGTGCTAGATGTATCTCCCTGATTCTTTAAGTAGATACATCTTCACCTGCAGTGTGAGCTTAAAGATTGTTATACGGCTGCAGCGAAGCATCCCTACCTGCATCTGCTGGCCCCAGTGAAGGATACTTCAGCTGTCAGTTTGTTTGGGGGTTTCAGTGATGGTTTTTTTGTTCTTCAGTGGTATTTTGGCTGTTTGGTTGTGGATTTTTTTGTTGTTATTATTTGGTTGGTTTTTGTTTTATTTTTAAATGGGCTGCATGCATGCCTTGTACAAAGGAATGCTTCACTGTGAACCTTTCTTTTACCCACCAGGCCTATCCTTGTACCAATGATAAGGAATGTGAAGTTGGGCGATACTGTCACAGTCCTCATCAAGCAACGTCTGCATGCATGATGTGCCGGAGGAAGAAGAAGCGTTGCCACAGAGACGGCATGTGCTGCCCTGGGAACCGCTGCAACAATGGTACATCAGTCATTTCTTGGTTTTCCTCCATAAAATCAGCATTTTGATAGCATCTGTTTCTCTGATTGTTCTCAGCAACAGTATTTTTTTCTGGGTGACTGTGCTTCTAATTTCTAAACCAAGAAAACTTCATTTTCTACTTCAGTCCTCTCCATTCAATTTTCTTTAATAGTATTTCTATATTTAAGGCTTGCATGCTTTTCCCCATTTTAGAGTGTTCAGTATGGTTAGGTCCATTGGAAGACTGTAGAGAACCCATATTTTTAAGGAAGCAAAAGAGACTTAATGAATCCTTGATCTACTCTCCTGGGAGTGGGGGTTATAACTGTACTGTTTGCATTCTCATACTCTCCTGACAGGGAGTGAAGCAGAGCTGCAGTGAAGTTAAGTGTTGGGAATCAGGGACAGAGGTGTGATTAGAGCTGAGTGCCACTGAATCCAAGCCCCAGCACTTTCGTGGTCCTGGTGTTGATCCTGGTCTGTGTATGTCTCTTGGCTGTTTTTCCTCTTGTTCAAATATTTGACTGACTGTCTTTTCCTTGCAGGTATTTGCATACCAGTAACTGAAAGCATCCTTACACCTCACATCCCTGCTCTAGAAGGGCCACGCAACAAGAAGAACAGTCATTATGCTAGCAAGGATTTGGGATGGCAAAACCTAGGGAGGCCGCGCTCCAAGCTGTCACACATAAAAGGTAAGATCACATTTGCACTACACTGCTTTGTTCCTTCATGTCATGAAGCATGTTATTTCTGTCAAGATAAAGCAATGCAAGCCAGAAATAGGCAGTAATTCCACAGGGAGTGAATATCTATCATGAAAATTCACAGCATGACTCAAAAAGTGATGTAACATCAACCAACGCTTCCTGTGACTGAAATAGCATCTGCTTTCGTCTCTGTATCAGAGGTGGACTAACAATCCATTGATTGCACGGATTCTCCTCTTGTAACAGTCATGTAATTAAGCACTTGTAATTCTGCTTACAATCCTGTAGCTGAATTTCTCCTTACTAAGTCTTCTGGCAGGCCTCACTAATTACCCCCTTGACCCTTCCTAATTCATATCTTCCCTTGTGATTTCATCTTACAAATAGGCACAGATGGAAATAACATCTCTCCTTTTTCTGAGCTTCATTTGCATCAGTCTGCACTGAACCTGTACTTTCACGATTCCCAGAAGGTAAAATAGTTTCATTACTCTTTTTAGGGCATGAAGGCGATCCCTGCCTACGGTCATCAGACTGTATTGAGGGACACTGTTGTGCTCGCCATTTCTGGACCAAAATTTGCAAGCCTGTGTTGCATCAGGGGGAGGTGTGCACCAAACAGCGCAAGAAAGGGTCCCATGGACTGGAGATTTTCCAACGATGTGACTGTGCCAAGGGGCTGTCCTGCAAAGTATGGAAAGATGCGACCTCCTCTTCTAAATCAAGACTTCATGTGTGCCAGAAAATCTGAATGAGGATTGGGAAGATAGTATTAAGTGACTGTAGCTTTACGTATTTAATGCATTACGGCATGGTGGGAAACGAGGACTGCAAATGAAAGCAGAATGGCTAAAGTAACAGTTAGGGTAGGAGTAGAAGTCACACCAAATGGATTTCTTTTTGAGCTGGTGTTAAACACAAGTGCAGCTGGAGTTCTACTGTGCAGTTCTTCTGTAAATAACTTCTACAGTTTGTGGGAAATGCTAGTATGCAAACAAGTACAGTGGAAATTAATGTCACTTACCTTGCTGTGTTGTCCCATGATGTTTCAGGGCTTCAGTGGGCTTCCAGCATGGTGATGACTGCTAAATAAACTGTATACATTATACTCCTATAGGAAGCAGTGCATGCCAGGAAGACTCATCTGTCAACACATTATTGGCCACATTGTAGGTGTGAGAAATGGAAATAAAGTTACTGTGAATGTCCACATGCCCTTGTCATTCAGGGCTGACACTTCAGCAAAGAAAGCACTCCTGCAGGACAAGAGTGCTCTGTTTTGCAGGCCCTCGTGAAAGAGGTGAAAACTTGCCATCTCACAATTTCAAGAGTGCAGCAGTTTCTCTAATAGGAGGCATTTAAACAGGTTTTGTTTCCTATACGTAGGTAAATTGAAATGCTTTATGTAGTTCAATGTCATAGTACGGCACTTAATCACTTGTATTTGCCTCAGTTTACTGCTAGTATACATTGGGTTGAACAGATGAAGCAAATACGTGCATGCTGAATCCAGAATTATATATATAATGAACAACAGGCAGTTGCTCATTAGTCCTAAATATACTTTCCTTGCCTAAGCATATTTGCTTTATAGATGTTTCCAAAAGACATAGCAGACTGTTGAAGTGCCTAACACTAAGAGCTATGAAGTTGTTTCACTGTTCTGTTGTAACAGACGACGTAGATAATTGTTGAGGTCTTTAGAGCACACTGCTACAAACTCCAATTTTTACATTTTATTCGTAGCAACAGGCTACAGATGGCACTCTGCAGAAGTATAATGGATTTGTTTCTTAGAGGCAGCAAAGAAAAAGGAGTTGGCTCTTGTGAGCACCTCCTCTCCTGCAGAGAAACATGTAAGAAGATGGTACGACCACAAATGACTTGTTAAACATCATGCGATGTCACAGCATACCAGCCTCCAGCGTGTATTCAGCCTGAACTTGATGTCCTCCCAGTCTGAACTGTTCTGCCAGGAATGATGAAAGTACATGGACTGTGGAAACAGCTGACAACTCTACATTGTTTGTGTACTGGTTAAAAAATGAACAGTCTCTACCCCTTGACTTGTCTCCCAGGTCTTTTCAAACTTGTTTCATTTTACTTATTTGCAAGTATTCCTTTGTATAGACATTGGTAAAAAGACTGGCATTTCTTTAAAGAAGTTGTAATTACCCGTTTATAATTACCCATTTTCATGTTTTGTAATACAAGGGACTTTTCTGTTTAATCAGTTCTGAACAACGCAGGTAGACCAGTATGCAGTTTAACTTTGAAGACCATGTCACCCCTACCTGACACCTTTTTCCATCAATGGTTGTTTTAACTCTATAGTCTTAGCTACATTGCCTGACTCAGACTTCCTAATTAGAACACAGACCTCAGCTATATTGCCTTTATCTTCCGTAAGAGTCTGAATACAAAGAATATTTCACACGCCTCTTTCCCTACTGGAGTTAGTTTTTATTGACCTAGAGAGACTGCTCAGAGACAGGGTCTTCTGTTTGTTAATAGTCTCAGTCAGAGTTTTATCTTGCAGTCCTATCATTGCAACTCTGCTTGTTTCAGAGTTTTTCCACTGTAACTGAAACAGGAATAAGGCTCAGAAATAGCATAATTCCAAGATATTAAAAAAATACAGAAACACATACTTGCAAGAAGCACATGCAAGCATGTACTCATCAGAGAAGCTCTATCGCTCTCACTGTGACTAAATATAAAAGGAAATAGTACTCAACGTGAGCAGGGGGGTTTGCAGAAATGGGCTCTCAGCAATTTTTAGCTCTTCTTGTCATTGGCCTACCCCCCTTTTCCTCTTGCAAAACATAGTTATTTGGGATAATTTATTTACAGGAAATGTTTAATGAGATGTATTTTCTTATAGAGATATTTCGTACACAAAGCTTTGTAGCAGAATATATTTGCAGCCTGTTGACTTTAATGTAGAAAAATGTATAATAAGATTAAATATATTAAATGTCCTTTCCCATTCCTCCCCAAATATTTTACCCATATTCTTTTCCTTACCTTCTACTTAAAAACAGTAGTTCTTTCTGGAAAGATATGCAAATCTATTGGAAAAAGAAAAAGGAAAAAAAAAAAAAAACAAAACAAACAAAACAACAAAACAAACCACAACATATATTTTAACTGTACAAGAAAAAGCATCTGATTCTACTTGTGTCTCGAAGCGCTATGTAGTCTGAGTTTTGGAAAAACATGTGAAGGTCATCTTAAAATCCCCACGCGTCTTTTCTACAAAACTGGTTTAAGTGGCAACTATCTCTATGCTTCTCTTGGGACAGTTTACACCTAAACATTCAAGAATAAGTACTGAAAATAATGTACCTGGATGCATAATGTTCAATCAACCATGTTAAACAGGAAAAGTGCCCAGACACATTCCCTGGATAGTGATACATACCAGAGAGGCTCGTGGTGGGTAAAACTGGTATTCAAATTACATGGCATTTTGCTATGGGTTACAGCATACAAATGCACTGTTGCAAGATCTGTAACTAGCAATTCTGAAATGGCAGATAACACCATTCAGCTCTAATAGCATGAAACAATCCATACATATGACACAATTGAAAATATTGCTACTAAAACCAGCCAAGTTCTGATCCCAGGAAAACCCCTGCAGAGCTCAATAAATATTGCAAAATAATGGCTGTGATTGTTGAGCAATGGTCTCAATATCTTCGTTATTTATTTCTGGTAACCCTTTGCTCAAACAGATGTACATTTGCAGGATGGAATGGTTTCCGAGTCGTGCTACTGTTTGTGCAAAATGAAAAGGTTTTGCTACTATTATTTGCAGTATTTGGTGGGTAGGCCTTTGAAAATTCTAAGACTTTTAACAATAACATAATAAAGATGTGATCATCTTCAGATCCCAATGACTTCACCAGAGCTTGAGACTGCCAAAGCCTTCAGACATTTAATCTGGGAACAAAAACAATAGGCACAGGCGGTTCGTTGCACACCACAAATGCTGAGCAACATAGTTGAACTGAATAGCGTGCAAGTAGTTTTGCAAGACTCAAATTTGATTGTTTAGAAGCCATTCAGTTAAAATTTTTGGGAAATATACATCAGTTTGAGAACAAAAGAACAGCTAAATTTGGAGATAATTGCTCTCACTCATTGTGTCACTCATCAAGGGAATTAAGAGTGACTTTGGCTCAGTAAATTTCAGAAATCTGCTCTCATGACACAAGTACTGAAAAGATCATTGCTGAACAATTCAAATACTCTTCCTATTAGCCTAGAATAGCCTCAGAAATGCAACATCTCTTTGGAAATACTTTTATTAACTTTCCTAAAAATAATGGATTTCTACTCTATAACAGCATATATTTGATTTACATTATAAATGTGGGTGTGTATCTATTACTGTACTATTTGCTTTGTCTTATGTTGCTTGCAACCTATAGTATTTATGATTTTAAACATTTTTAAATGAAAGCAATTAAAATAGATTTATACACTTACTTGTATAACAACACTTTCAACAGCATACATCCAGCACCTGACACCTAAACCACAATTCATTGAAATTCAAGCCATCTTCTGCATATTCTGACTTTTCTGCTCATGTTCTCAACGACAGCAAAAAAAAAACCCTCACCAAACACGAACTGTCCTGGGCAGAAGCTGAGGAGAGACATTCCTAAATTATTGCATGTCACCAACACACCAGCCCTCTCTGCTTTCACTTCAGAGCCCTGCATCATCACTCCCGATAGGAAAGGTAAAGTGCTACCAAAGAGAAATTGTATTTTTTATCCCTTCCTGTTCCCTTTCCTTCTAGGAAAGCCATTTGAAAAAGGATATCCTGAAGGTCAAAGTCACTGGAAACTCATACTCTAGGCCAAGACTTTTAGGAGTCTCGAGATCTATCCTCCAACTTTCAAAAACTTAATTGCTAAGAGAGTTATGTAGATGATACGACCATATTTACAAAATATAAGGCTAGCTCTTTAGATTGTCATTCAAGTGTTCTGAAAATAACTGTCCACAGTGGGGTGGGGAACCTGAACGCACCCCACCTTTCCACTCCCAAAAAACAACCTCACCTGTAGTCCCTGACAAATGGACACAAAGCCATCATTAATTTTGCTTTTAAATCACACAATAAATTTATGCTTTCTTACCTTACATACCAGTCTGACGTGTGGCATTTTTCCTGCATTAGACAGGAGTGAAGGAACAGAATTAGTCTAGAGGTCTGTGCTCCCTCATTTAAACCATAGGGTTTCACTAAGATGAACAGCAACTTTCTGCTCAAGTGCCTTATCTAATATAGTTTTTAACATGCTCACAGCTACCAAAGGGTGCTTACAGCTCAACACAGACCCTACAACCCTTTCTTACCTTATGCTTTGCCCTCACCTTCACAGGACTGTTGTCAGTCACTGAAATGTGTTGTCAAGCGTCTGCTGCAGCCCTCTCTTACCTCACTGCTCTGCCAGCTTTTTGCAGACCTGCTTAGGGCAGCAAAGCAGGAGGCAAGGAGAAAGCGTAGAAAATAGTGGTGGTGGGCTGAAGCGAGCCAGCCCAGAAGCTTGAAACGGTGGGGAGAGGGGGAAATCTCCCTCAAAGTTTTATTAGATGCTATTGCAAAACCCCATCCTGTTACCAAGAACGGAGGAAGGGCAAACGTGCTCTGTCTGTTCCTGAGCTGTGTCCCCACAGCACCGACCCGAATCAGGGAGGCCGGATTGAGTGCTTCTGGCCCCTCAAAAGCTGAAGTCTTGAGCCTGTGTCCCCCCAGGAGCAGCATGCCTCTCTCACCTTGGTCCTCAGTGTATCCAAATCCCAGTAATTCCACAGGCTTTGGATTTGCCACCAGCCCTCAGACACATTGTTCAGATGACTTTGCTATAGCTCGCAGCCTGCCCATGCCTAGGGATCCCACCGGCCGACTGCGGAGAAGGAAGGAAGAGACAAAAGCAGGAGGCAGCTGTTGCATTGCAGAACTCCAGCTGGTCCCAGAGCTGTTATTTTGACCACCACTGATGGGACTGACCCTGATGGATATACAGCATTGGATCATGCTCGTTGCAAACTTGTTTATTCTGGCAGCTCCCTGTTTTTTTTGGAATTGCTTATTGTTATAACATGAGTGTCAATTACTTATTTACAAATGTCTGGTACCAATAAACTCTTTGTTTTTTACAGTACCAGCTTGCAGCTTGACTTAGAAGTGGTTTGCTGTATGCCAACTTCCTGAAGCAAAGGAAATAATCTTTTAGAGGAAATTAATATTTTAAGAAGCACAGACTTTTTTTTTTCTTTTTAGGAAAAAACCTATTTAGAATAAGAGAAGGAAAAACACAAAAAGATTTCCTGACACAAATCTTAGTCTTTGAGTCCTTGACAAAACTCATACTGTAATTCTCCACTGCTATTATCAAAGCTGGCCAAAGAGCAGTCAACAAATCAGAAATGCATACCTGTGTGGCTGCTGTCATGTATATTCCTGTTTTCTAAACCTTATAAGCTATTCTTGATTTTTAAGCTATTCTTTATTTATGAGAGTATGTTATTCATCAGTATTCACTCAATAGGCTTGCAAACTTTTTTTTAAATCAACTGTTAATCAGACATTCATTAATTCAGCACAACTGTAAATGTAGGGCTCACAGAAATTGTTTCTTTCCTTAACGACAGTATTTTTTAATGGAATCATCAAGGTATGTAGCTACATGAAAATTAATAAATGACATGGATCTGGAAGAAATTTGTCAAGGATTTTGCAATGTATCACATTAATGAATCCAATGATCACTCAGACCTTTATAAAAATCTTAAAAAACCCCTTTTTTTTTTAGAAAAACCCTCAAAATTATTAAGGCAATGTCTTTGTCTTACTATCTGAGCAGTTATGGATATTGTAACATTGCTTCTTTAGAACAATGGATGATAAAAGAAAATCCTCATGTATGTGCTCTAGAGAACAGTTAACTCTCCTGTTTCAAATAACATTTAACTCTTCTGTTGCATTAAGTTCAGAAGAGGGTGATACTGCCTTTCCCAGTGCAGCACACTGTTAACTGGTAATACTGTGTTATGGTTGGAGGACTACTGGATTACATTATTAAAACTTTTTAAATACTTGAAAGCTAGTGCTCTTTATCCTGGAGCTTCCTTCAAACCTGTGTGGAGATCAATGTGTATGGGAGGAACAGTCTGCAAGTCATGTATGATTTCTATTAGAAATTCATCAGGAAGACTGTAAATAACTGTGAAGCAAGAGGCCTTCCCTCTGCTACCCCAGCACCCATTGAGACCTCTAAATGTATCAAAACCTATGAATTTATCAGATTAATTTTCATTTCTCTGAACCTCTGGATTTTTACTTCTGGATTTTCGCCAAAATGCAGTTCTCATTGTATCTACAGCTTGACAGTAAATAGAATCTTACAATAATAATTCTCATTGCAGAGTCTGTTTTCATGAGATTTGGAGCTCAAAACATATATTCAAAAGGCTCATAAGCTTTGGAGCGGAATCCAGAATTCTTTATGTTTGTTCATACATTTTGAGATTCACTTATGAAAAGATCTTGTAGAAATGCATGGTTATACAATTGCAATTACATACCATTTTGTACAGTGCACAGAATAATTACATCTTCAAAAATCAGAAGAAATCAAATGAAGCAATGTTCCCTCTAAAGTTTAATGCTGAAGACTAAAAATCACCCATGACAGAGTGCAACCATTTAGCACTCGTATTGTACAGGGACTACCTTAATGATTCGAACTAAAAATACGTAAGTACTTTAGTACAACTCACCTGGATGCTTGAGTGACACCAAGACTATAATATTGTCATCAGGGTACGCACTGAACTGTTGTATATCCTCCAGCATTTGCTGCAATAGGATTTCACCCTGGGTGAGTTGTGGTAATTACTAATTGAAGATAATTGGTTATAAACAGGCAATTCCCATCATGGTGCCATAAATCTGGCCATATAATTTATGTATTGATGGTCATTATCACTGTTGGTGACATAGCCTCTCTGAATAAGCAAACAGGAAGACATTCATATGAAGAAATCTTCCTCTGCATGCAAACATTTTAACAAAAGATGGAATTACTTAAGTTGCATCTTACCTTTAATGAGGGACAACTTCCCTAGTGTTGTCTTCCCCACCTGAACAAAGAGGTTCACTTGTACATGACCAAACACATATTTAATGATCTCCTCATCTGTGTTATCGGAGTAATTTTACGTGTCTTAGAAACAACACAGGAAATTAGTTTTCATCTAAGAGTTCAAATCTAATTTTATTTTTGGTTATTAATCCACAATTCTGCCTTTAAAAAAAATAGACTGTTAGAATCTCCAGACTGTTTCAGGAATATTCCATATCTAACTGCTCAATTGCAAAATTTAAATCAAAGTAATTGCATGAAATGTAGAAGAAAGCAGAACTGAACAGTTGTTTCTAATATCTACTGAGCACTAACAAATTGAGCAGGCAAACTGTCAAGGAAACATGAGATGAACTTTGCAACAGCTTGAAATAAATGTTAAAATTCCTGTTTCTTTCAGTACAGTCTAAGTATTTCTTAAAATATGTCTCTGAAACAGAAACACTTTGTGTATATAGAGGCTGATTTACCAATGATTCAATGATCCAGAAGTTCTGTAGAAGTCAGCGGCAGCAGCTGAGGTGCAGCACTTCAGTAATGTTACCAAATGTCCTTGTGGCACCATTTGGCACAGGTCACCTTTCCTGAAAAATAAAAGCAAACCCAGAACACTCAGTGCAGAACTGAAAAGACTTCAGAGATCAGCAGTAAAAATATTGCAGGAACGGAAAACTTCCCTTTTTGTAGGAAAATATTCACAGAAGAGAATAAGGAGGATTGGTTCAAGGGTCAAGGGTTTATTGACTATTTTAGAAAGAAAATTACTGTGAAGGTGATGATGAAGTGCTATAAAGTAACAAGAGATTGAGAGAAGGTAATCTGATGCAAGAATTTAAAATTCTTCATGTCAGAAAGAAATCATCATAATACTCCTGTGCATAGTAAGTTATTATGTTTTACCCACTTAGCTCTTTTAAACACAGCCATGAATACTTTCCTGAAGCACAACTTCCACATGATATCAGATAATATTTCCCTCAAAGTCATCTCAATTTGAAGTCACCAAGAGAGGAGGTGGCTTGTTCCATATTTAAATACATCTGGCTTATCCTCATTTATTTTTAATTAGATTTCTTTTTCCTACCGGATGAAGGAGATGTCTAGTACCTACTAATTTCTCCTCATCATGCTACTTCTACACTGAAAGCCACTCACATTTCAATCTCCTTATCAGACTTTGTATCATGGTTCTTTTTGCTGAAGGCCCATGTTAGCATTATAGAATAGCTGAAGGGAGGTAGCAGGAGGGTTTTGACAGCTGCACTGGGGACATCTGAGGCTTTGCAACAAGGAAAATTGGTGAGGCTGTTTGGGATTTTGGGACAAACATGATAACTGCTAAAGTGATCAGCAGGTAAGTGCTCATATCAGCTTTGTTGACATTTAAATTAATACCTGTGGAGACACTTGAATAAATGCTGTAGTTTAGAGCTGATGGGAAAACCTGTGAAAAAGATTTTTAAATTATTTTCTTCACTGCTTCCATTTGGGGGTAGAAAACATTTTTGATCATGGATTTTGTGGTCCATGAAACCCCCACATTCAGAGAGCTTAAGCAAGAAAGCATGCGTGTTGTCAGTAAATTGGGGGGAAAAAAAATAGGAGTTTGCAAACAAAAAAGAGATTAGAAGAACACTGAACTAAACCAAGAGTGAAAAACCTCATAATCCCCATAAAATTGAGCCTGTTAAAGGCTCTGGGAAGATATTCCATCTTTTCAGCGAGAATGAGAATCAAGCTGCAGGTATCTGGGAATATACACACCCTGCAAATGCAAGCGAGCTGATGGCAGTGCTTCAGTGTCTTCTCCCAGGAAGGTAGAACTGCTGTTTCTGTGGCTGTATGTTTCCATCTATGACAGCAATACTTTAAAGCATATCTTGCCATCACACTTGATATCACGCTAACTGCAGAAACTCATTATCTGCTGTTCCCATCCCATGAAAAACGTATGACTTTGCTATACTGGGATTACAAACTGCTCCTAAAACA